TAACAAAAGACATTGTACGTTCACTTAATTAAATTTTTTTATTTTATTTTTACATTACAAAAAAAATCTTTAGTGTGATTGTGCATTTGCTCATTAGAAATTGCACCTATATTTTATAATAATTGCACATTGGCTTAAAAAACATTACACTAAGTTATTTTAGTAATTTTTTCTTTTTAGAATTTTCTTATAAGCATTACTGAGCGTGCGTTAGCGTATTATTTTGAATAATAGAATTTTATTTGCAACTTTGGGGGGGGGGGGGTATTTTTTAGTATAATAATATATTTTTAAACATGACTTTGTGTGTACGTTATTTTACATATAATAAAAAAGACTGCCTCTATATTTTTTATTATTTTGTGTTAAGAAAATATGACTTTTATATTTCATATTGCAATATTCTCATTATTCTAAAATCTCTTGTCTTCTTGTACTCTCCCTTATACTAAAACCCCCAAAGATTTTCTGGAGACAAATTAGGAAGAGGAATTATTTGTTTCTCAATTATCAAAAAACAAGCAGCAGCAAATTAAGGTATGTATTTCGGCTTTTGGATTTTTGAAAAATGGGTCAATTTTTCATTTATGAGACCATTGTAGAGTATGTAGATTATTGATGTGTGTTTGTATTTGGGTGCCTTGGACTTCTCTAGGGCATAGTAGCGTGAGGATTTTTTTTTTTTTTTTTGCGGAAATTAATTGTTTTCCAGCAAGAAATGAAGTCAAGTACAAATAAAAAGTCAATAACTAATTTGGTTTACTTTAGATTCTGAAATTTACTTATGCTTAATTGGCATTGCTGTTAATTTCTTTGCAAAAATATGAAGACTTTCTTTACATGATTCAGATTGTAACTTGATGTCTCATCCTTGTCTTCTCTAACGCCCGGCCTCCGTCTTAGCTTCGCCGTGGCACCGTTAAAAAAAAAAAAAAAAATTTACAGAAGAAGAACAACAACGAGAGGAGAAGAAAGAAAGAGGGAGAGAGAGGAGAACGGAAGATTTGAAGAGAGAGGAAGAAGAATTAAACTGTATTACCAAATATAAATCACTTTTGCAACCGGTTATCGGTAAATGAATTTTTTTTTTTTATTCATTTAATGCAAATTTAATGATTGTGATTAATTTATACTGATTTAACGGTTAATAATTACGTAACGGGACGATACCCTAAAAATCAAGAACAAGACTCTAGCTTTATCCTCAATTTCAATCTTTACACTATAATTTACACTAAACAGAATATCCTCCAAATGTCCTCCACATTAATATTCAAGTATCTTTTCACATTAAATATCCTCCAACCTTTATGCACCAAATTTCTAAATGTTAGAGTTTAAATTTTATTTTAATAGTTAAAAGTCTTATAATTTAGTGATAATTTTATTATCTTGTTTATTTTGTAACTGTCTTAATCTAAGTGTAGAATCATCAAACTTGTTATATTTAATTCAAAAAATGATTTAAATTAAATCTTTTAAAAACATTAAATAAATATTATTGTCAATATTGATCTTATTTTGAAGATCAAAAGAAGACCAGTAATATGCGATAGATTTCATAACATTATTTGTTTTACAAGTTTAATTATATAACAAATCATGTGTTTAGAGCAAAGTAAAAATGTAGTAGATGCAATTGTCGGTTCACAACAAGGTTGGTGGAATACTATATATTCATTGTACCAAAATGATGCGTTGATTTAGTTCTTTGTTGGAGTGAGTCTCTATTTAGTATACCCGGGGGCACCATACTCCTCCTCATATTTTTTACACTATTAGTCCTTACTACACTTTCTTTTACTTTTCTAAATAACATCCTAAAATTTACAGGTTTAGTCCCGTCTGATTTTTTTTTCTCTCTCCTTTAAAAAACATCTCTAATCTTTAAACGACCATATCTCTCAATCCGTGAAGAATTAGAAAACGTGATACAAATGAATTTTATTGTATTCGTCGAGATCTATCCAACCAGATCCATGTAGAATATTTTTTTGGAGTTTAAAAATGTACTGGATATCCATTTGGTTTGTACTGGATATCCAACTCATTTGTACTGGATATCCATCCATTTGGTTTTTTTATTATTATTTTTTTGAAAAAAAAGAAATAGTTATCCAACGCGTTCGTATTGATTATCCAACTGTTTTGTATAGATTATCCGACCATTTTTTTCTCTACTCTTTGCGAAAATTCTTGTCCAGTTTTTTTGTACTGACTATCCAACCATTTTGTATGCATTATCCAATTGTTTTCATTGATTATCCAAACCAAATTTCTCTTCTTTTTTTTTCTTCTTTTGAGAAAAAATCTGTCTAATGTCTTCATACTGATTATCCATCCGACTTCTCGGTGATGGATGGTTATCCGACTTTTTTTTTCCTTGCTCTTTTAATGAAAATGATTGTCCGCTTTTTTTGCATTGGTTATCCAACCAGCTTGTACTACTTATCCAATTATTTTTAATGATTATCCGAATTGTCTGTAATGTTTATCCAAATATTTTATTTTTTATTCTTTTCTTCGTTTTTTTTTCAAGATGAGTGAATGTAAAAAATACAACTGGATAACAAGTACAAACAAAATGGATAATAAGTCCAAACCGGTTGGATAGATCTCGTCGAGCACTATAAAATTCTTTTATAATTTGTGTTCTAATTCTTTACGGATCAAGAAATAGATGTAATACAAGAATATCATTCTAAACTAAGTTGGTTATCCATCTTCTTTTTTCTTTTTTTCTTTTTTGAAAAGTTAATGTAAAAAATATAATTGAATAAAAACAAAATAGGTAATTAGTCCAAACCGGTTGGATAATCAGTACGAACACAACAGATAATCATTTTTCAGTTTATTCATTTTTGCCCGAAAGATTTAAATGCATTTAAAGTTCAAAAGAAATATTCAACATTGATCTTATCGGATAGATCTCGTCGAGCACTATAAATTTCATATATAGTTTGTGTTATAATTCTTTACAGATAAAAAGATATAAGGAACACAACAATATGAATGTAAAATAAGTTGGTTATCCATTTTCTTAAACTAGATATCCAATGTGTTTATATTGATTATCCAACTTCTTTGTGGTGGTTATCGAATAATTTTTTTTTTCCTTACTCTTTTATGAAAATGATTGTCAAACTTTTTTGTACTGATTATTCAACGTGTTGCACTGATTATCCAATTAGTTTCTATTGATTATCCAAATTGTTTGCAATACTTATCCAATCATTTTTTTTTTAAAGAGTGAATGTCAAAAATATGATTGGATAACAAGTATAAACAGTAGGAACATAATGGATAACCATTTTTCAAAGAAAAACGAAAAACACATTTCTTCATTTATGCCCATAAAATTTAAATGCATTTAAAGTTAAAAAAAATATTCAACATGGATGTTATCGAATAGATTTCGTCGAGTACTATAAATTTCATCTATAATTAGTATTCTAATTCTTTACGGATCAAGAGATATATGCAATACAAGAATCTTAATCTAAACTAAACTGGTTATCCATCTTTCTAGACTAGATATCCATCTTATTCTGCCCATCGAAATTTAGTCATTTTTAAACTCGAAAAAAATATTCGACATGGATCTTGTTGGATAGATCTCGACGAGTACAATAAAATTCATGGGTAACACGTTTTCTAATTCTTCACGGATTGAGAGATATGATCATTTGAATATTAGAGATGTTTTTTTAGAAGAGAGAGAAAAAAGTGACAGGGACTAAACTTACAAATAATAGGAAGATTATTAGAAAGAGTACAAAAAGTACAATAAGGACTATTAGTGCAAAAAATAGGAAGGGGAGTATGGTACCCCCGGGTGCACCCAATAAATTGCCGTTGGAGTTGCTCTAATTTTTTTTTTTTTTAATGTGAAACTTATGCCATTTTCCTTTAACAAGATTAAATTTTATCATTAGCTAGTAATAAAAATACGTGTTTTTATTAGTATTAATGTGTTTTGAGGTTGGGTAGGATGATTAGAGCTAAAGGTTTAATATGGGGTAGCTCTTTTATCGTGAGATCAAATTTTTATTACTATTGTATATAGCCTAAAGGCAGAGAGATAATTAAATTTGGTAATAATAATAATACAAAAAATGTGTAATTAATATATATATCCTATTAAAATAATTGTCCAACGCTGATGTGTCACACTCTCATGCAATATTTTCCCGCCAAGAAAAACGAAGTCGTTTTTGTAGAATAAAATAAAACACCAAATTTTTGTTAATAACTCCCAGTTAAACACAACAATTGTTTCCATACAAAATCAAATTATATCGAGTGAGTAACTAAGGCAATCAATGCAAAAAATAAACACAATGAATCCATCCCCTGAAAATTTTGAAGCAATAATTCACATATAATTAATTCAATGTATGTGTGCAAAATAACCTCAATAAATTGTATCTCGATCAATCATGATGATTTTGAAACTCAAAAGAACACTGGGTTAATCTTGAAAATATTAATAAATTATTGATATTAAATTTCTATGATTATCAAAACAACATAAATTCATTTATTTCTCGTACAAGGCACGGGATTTCACCTAGTGTAGAATAACTCAAGATCCAAAAAAAAAAAAAAAACCAAAAAAACAAAAAAAACAGAAAAGAAAAAGAAAATCACATTATTATTATTTTTTTTTGTACAATGAAGGAGGCATAAAAGGCTAAGAAAACTAAAGAATTATATTACGTTGGTAACATATACCAACTACATCATGATATAACAAAGGTTTCATATTCAACGGGCGGATCTTCCAATCACATTATTAATTACCACCCCTTTATACATTGCCCTTTCTTCATGTATATATAAACCCCTGCTCTCCATTCTCTCGAATCTCATATAGCCTTAAATTTCCTCTCAAAATCGTTTCCTTTCAAAAACACTTATCCTTCTTCCTATCAATCTTTATACTTCCGTTTTAGGCCGAAAAAAGAACAACCAAAAAAACCAAAAACACAAAGAAAGCCATGGATGCTTTTAACAAAGTTCTAGAGTTCTTGGAAGAAATGACGAAAAACGCGGATGAGGTTCAAGAGAAAGTGCTAGATGAGATCCTGTCTCGAAATTCTGGTGTTGAGTACTTACAGAGGCATGGCCTTAATGGTCAGATTGAAAGGGAAACTTTCAAGAAGAATATGCCTGTGATCAGTTATGAGGATATTATGCCAGATGTTACTCGTGTTGCTAATGGAGATAAATCCCAAATCCTTTGCTCCCAACCCATTTCTGGGTTCCTGATGAGGTTTGGCTTTCTATCATTTATTTTAACTGGTTAAAATGAAGCTTCTTAACCTCTGGTGAATTCTTGAGTTCTTGATCCCGAGTTTGTGTTAAGGTTGACAGTTATAGAAAATCATGTGGTTCGATCCCAAAACCAATTGAAAATGAGGGGAATAGCTAACCGGACTTATATGTTGATACACACAAATTTTTTTTCACAATACCCATATGCGACAGCATATATAACCACGGATTTGATTTTGATTGTCGGTTTTTTTTAAAAAAAAAAAATTGAAATTAAAAATTTTCTGATATTTCATTTTATGATTGTCATATTCAGTTCTGGGACCTCAGCAGGAAAGCCGAAATTGATACCGACAACCGAGGAAGAGTCCGCGAGGAGGCAATTTCAATTCATTCTTGTAAGGGCAGTGATGAGCAAATATATTCCTGATCTGGACAAAGGTAAAAGAATGTATTTCCTCTTCACCAAACCTGAGGTAAAGACTCCAGGTGGACTAATAGCAAGAACAGTTACAACTAGCTTTAGCAAAAACAGCGCACCTTTGAAGAATGGCGCAAATTTCAGTAGCCCGATTGAGACTATTCTCTGCCCTGACTCATACCAGAGCATGTACTCCCAAATGCTTTGTGGTTTGTGCCTAAATAAAGAAGTCATCAGTGCTGGCGCTGTTTTAGCCTCGGGTTTCATTCGAGCTATTCGATTCCTTGAAAAGCACTGGCAACTTCTGTGCAATGATATCCGAACAGGTACTCTAAACCCGCAAATCACAGATCCTTCTGTGAGGGATGCTGTGATGAGACTCCTGAAACCAGACCAGCAGCTCGCTGAATTTATCGAAGAACAATGTGGCAAAAAGGAGTCTTCTTGGAAAGGGATCATTAATAAGTTATGGCCTAATACAGGGACAATGTCGCAGTACATCTCAATTCTGGATTACTATTGCAATGGCCTTCCTGTTGTTTGCAAAGTATATGCTTCTTCTGAGGGTTTTTTTGGTGTTAACCTTAACCCTCTCAGTAACCCAAGTGAGGTTTCTTACACTGCTATTCCTACCCTTTGCTACTTTGAGTTCCTCCCTGCAGACAGGAACAATGGTGTCACAAACAGTATTAGTTCGCCCGGACCTCTCGATGATAAGGAGCAACAAAAATTGGTTGATCTTGTTGATGTCAAATTGGGACAAGAGTATGAGATTGTTGTCACAACTTATGCAGGTATATATAGCCCTTCACAAATTTCAGCAATTTTCTTGATTAAACCGTCGTGATTGAATAATTCTGTCAATTGTAAAAGTCATTTGGATCTGAATTTCCATTTATTTAGTTAGCACTTTGTAGTGTTTCGATCATCTGCTGCTGTGAGTGCAGAGTTTTTCTAAATTTCATTTGATCCAAGGTTAACAATTTTGCTTATTTTCGTATTCTTGAAGGTCTATATCGCTACAGAGTTGGGGATGTTCTCAAGGTGGCAGGGTTTAAGAACAAGACCCCTCAATTCAACTTCATTTGCCGGAAAAACGCAGTCTTAAGCATTGATATGGAAAAAACTGATGAGGCTGAACTACAAAGTGCTGTGGAAAATGCAACAAGACATTTGGTCCCATTTGATGCAATGTTAATTGATTACACGAGCTTCGGGGACATTGCCAGCAATCCAGGACATTATGTTTTGTACTGGGAGCTTAGACAAAATGGATCAACCGAAATTCCTCCTAAGGTTTTTGAAGATTGTTGCCTCAGCATTGAAGAGTCCCTCAACACTTTTTATTGCCAAGGGCGCTTTTGTGACCATTCGATTGCTCCGTTAGAGATCAAAATTGTGAAGGCTGGCACATTTGATGAGCTCATGGACTATTCCATCAGCTTAGGTGCTTCAATCAATCAATATAAAACTCCTCGCTGTGTGACATTTGCACCAATTGTTGAGCATCTGAACTCCAGGGTTGTCTCGAGCTACTTTAGTCCGACAAGTCCCAAGCCCGAACCTGGTCATTAGCAATGGAATATGAATGCAACTGAGGAGTGAAGGAATGGCTGCCCTTCACTTGAAAATAAAAAACAAGATCAAGAACTGCTTTTCTTTTTGTCCTATCATGTTATTTTCAGAAAGGGTTCATGCTTGTTCTTCCGCAACCATTAAAATCTATTTGTCATGTAATCTAAATGCCTGTACGTGTAAGGCTCTTCGCTTTTTATTATCCTTTTGATCGTTTTCTTATTTGATGGCTGACTTCATACGATTTATTAGTTGTAAAGTTATGGTAACAGAAGAGCAACATTTCATGGAAAAAAGAAACTCTTGAAAAACTATAATGCCAAGTTAATGTCTTGTCCATCAAAAAATTAAAAATGTCGCAGAATTATTAACTACTACTGGATGAGGTAAATTTGACCGTAAACCATGGTTGCACTCTAAGAAAGAGTGCATAACTGGTCGATCCCTTTTAACAGCAAACCTGAGCTTTTGTTACTCCAAAATCATTCTAGTCGAAGCAAGAGACTATTAAAATTAGTTATGTTGATAAAGGAGAATAATTTAGTAATGAGGTTGCAGATGAAAAAAAAAGGCACATGATAACATTGAAGGCTGCTAACAAGGTAGTCCAAGATCCAGGTGACACTACTCCAGGGCTTTGAGAATGCAAAAGTTAATTATGAAGACTTCGTATGTGCTGGGGAAATAGTAAGTTCTCCACTAAACTGATCCATTAAAGGTTTCTCCAGAACCTATATAACAAACATCTATATTGAATAGAATTGGCAGAACAAAAGTTATCTAATTACCTATACTTGAAACTAACAACTTGGAATTTTATTTCAAAAAGAAAATATATATATATATATATATATATATATATATATAACACTCTTACTTTGGTACAGAAGGAGTACTTAGTCATAAGTTCGTATGATTACATACCTTTACATTATACCATGAGGCATCTCCTCCTTCTCTAGCTGTCTTGAGTTCCCCCGATCCGGTTCCATTGCTACATTCTTTTAGAGGAACAAAATTAATTGCAGCATATGATTAATGTTGCCCATGAATAACCTTTTCTGCGTTATGAATCACAAAAAAAATAAAATAAAAGAAGTTGCAGTGCTAATTTTTTAGAACGACTGAATTTTTATTACCTTAAACTGATGAAATAACTCATGAGAATAAGGTTTTCCTTCATGTTTCTCCAAGGTGTCATGAACAAGAGTAATAAGCTGGTTAACTTGCGTCGCTTTCTCGACTTCATCATTCGTAATGTTATCAAACGATGCTTTTCGGCATTGGCATTTCTCAGGGAGTTTCTGAAAATTAACCATTCAGATTATACATTGTCTGGGGCCTAAATGTATAATGAAAAATGGAAAACACCATAGAGCAAAAATTAGAGACAGTACAATTTAAAGTCGGTTTTTGTTAACATAATACAACAAATAGAACGGAAGATAGAGTAGTAGTCAATGATTAATGTATATAAACACATTGTGGTGAAATCAATAACAAGATACCTTTAGCGCATCAGGCCTTGCATAAGCTAAAGTAATCAACCAAAGTTAACTGATTAATTTTGCTGATCATTTCATCAAGGCCAGTAAAAAAAGCAATCATATGGTCTTGGTCCAAACAAACGAATGAACTTAACAACCGCGGCAAGTTGTTCGTAGGTCAGTCGGCCATTCATTGACAACCCCAGAAGAAACGCGTGCACCCCCTGCTTGGCCATCTCCATAATATCTCCTTATCAACACTTCAGGCCTACTGGAAGAGTAAAACAGACCTGCAATTTTTTTTAAAAATTTTCTTTCTCATCAGTTATCAACAGTTCAGGCGTTTGTGACCAATCCATTGGTTCGTTGGAGGTCAAAATCGTGGAGGCCGGCACGTTTGATGAGCTCATGGACTATTCCATCAGCTCAGGTGCTTGAATCTTCAGTATAAAACACCTCGCTGTGTGAAATTCAGGCCACTCGTTGAACTCCTGAACTCGAGGGTCGTGTCGAGCTACTTTAGTCCGGCATGTGTCCCGAGTGGATTCCTGGTCATAAACAATGGAATATGAACGGCAAGTGAGAAGTTAGTAGCTTATCTCTTAATTCGGACATGTTGATGTTTGTGATCATCTCATTCCATGGAATGCACCCATTACTTTTGCTCATTTTAATGTTTTTCTTAGTTGACTGAAAGAATAACATCATTCAGATTTGTTGTCTTTGCAGGAATTCATCACGTTATGGTGTTACTGTCCTGGTACTGGTAATGTTATAATGGTATCTGATTTTATTCACGTTCCTTGGCAGGTTATACAATAAATCTTACCTAGTCAACGTAGATCCTGATTTTAAATCTCCATCATAACAATTCCTATACAAACATACCTCAGGTTTTCTCTTAATAAAAAATCATAATAATGACCTTGAGTAAATTCATGCCAGTCAAGATGACTATTATGACGCCCTATATGATCCACTAGACATGTTATAAAGGTAGTAGAATTTCATGAGTCCATGTAAATTAACTGCACGACCTCTTTTTCCCGTGAATATTGATTTTAGGTTGATAATCAACAGTTTTACATGATCATATCTATGAAGAACAAAGTACCACCAGATCAAAAACCTAATCGTTCAAACAAGCTTAAACGCAAGATGGTTTGAATTTTACTACCCTAAAAAATGAAAAATAAAAAAATCGGCACGTTCATTGAAAAAGGCCCCCTCAAATCTTGGCGTAATTGTTGGTGGGGTGAAAAAATGAAAACGTGCAGCTGGTAAGTTTATCCTTGGGCGCAGTGAATTAAGATCACCATATTCTTGTCATCCAGGAACAAAAAATTGTCAGCGAGAAGCAACTACAATACATGATTTTCAAATTCTCGAAGTCATTGATACCTCCAGTCCAGGTGCAGATTCTTTTCCAATTCTCTATATTTGTTCAAGCAGATTGTTACGTGTTCAGTGAATTTTTATATGGGTGCTTAATGGAAAACGAAATTGTTCACTTTCACAAGTCTTCTCCTTGGAAATGTTTGAAAAATTGAATGCGGTATTCGTGATGAACAATGACATCTTTAAGAAATCGAAAAATTCGGGACTCGTGAAGACACGATTTGATTAAAACATATTTGTCCCCTCCTAAGGTACTGAAGGATCATAAGCAATTGTTTCCAAGGATGCAACGGATAAACGTAAAAACTATTTAGCACTAAGTAGCTCCACCGACGAATTAGAGCTTAAAAAATATTTGATGAATACCAAAGAAGAGGAAGAAAAGGTGATCGGTATCGAGACCACCAGAGAAAAACAATGGTAAGTAGGGTCGATCCCACATAGACGGGTGAAACTCTAATAAACCCAAATGATTCGAACTCCAGTCAAAGAAATAGAAAAACAGATTACTTGTGAAAGTGAGAAACTGACTCGACTTTGAGGGATCTTAACCTGTCATCTCTCTAGTTTGTTGCGACTTTTGTGGTATGAAAGAGTATTTGATAAGGAACAATAACACTGTACGGCCCCTTTTGATATTCGAAATAGCAGTCCTTGTAGTAACAAACCCACTAACTTTCGTTGTTGACTCCAGAATACTACTAAGCCCTTAAGGTCCTAAGTCTTTATGATTAGCTCGTGCCAAACAACTAACTTTCATTGTTGTTTGAAAACATGGGCTGTAACCCCTTATCACCGTTAATCTTAGACGTTCTAATTTAGGTTTACGCTTTCGCAATTCCCCTAATATGCAAGCACAATTAGTTAAGTAGCTAATTCAACTAAAAGGTAAATGAAAACTCCAAGACTAAGCACACAAATATCATCCAAATACAACCATATATATTAACTAGAGAGATTCAAAGGATTAATACCATATAAACAGTTTAGTTACTCATATCCTTCAGTATAATGGATATGGAAATGATCCACATAACCAAGGACATGATTACATACATACAAAAAAAGAGAAAGAAAAGAGCATGGAGACAGTCGGCTAAAACTACTGCAGGCTGGCTACTGGGGCAAGTGTGAAACTCACTTCCCCTAGTAGCCACCCGTTGCTGATGCCTTCTGCAATTTCTATTGTAGGTTGACACTGGAATTGTTGTTTATGAACCAATGCCTATCCGTTTGATTGAGATTATCAAAGATGAGGATGACCTTTATTTTATTAAAAGCTTTTTCTATTTTTTTCTTTCTTTCTTTCTTATTATTTTTCTAAGAAAAAATATTAATGACCTCTGGCCTAACGAATTGTGGTATTTGATAATAAGTGAAGTGAATATAACCCAAAAATCTAGCAAACTTATTCAGCCCCTAATTATGTAAGTCTATTCACGTTATCTAGTTAGTATTAAATTGAAAAATAAATTAAAAATTAGTTATCTTAATTTTAAAAAAAATTCCTTTGAATAAATAAAAAAAGGAAATAAAATAATCTAGGCCTCACAGGCCAGGCAAGATCTGTAAAATCTCAAATATCATATATGACATCAAGATAATTTTGTATTCAAGGAAATACCAATTCTAAATCTCTAAATATTTATTTCAACTTTTATGTGTATATATACCTAATTTAGAATTATATTTGTGGTCTTTTAAAATCTAAATTAATACGGTCCATTTTTAGGCGGTTGTTTTATGAGAGTTACTTTTCCTTCACCGCCTTTCCGTAGCTACACCTCCTTGCTCCAGCCAGATCAATTTCCATGTCCTTGTCTACAATCGACATCCTTGTGTCCAATCTTGTAGCATTCTGAACCATCAGATGGTATATGCTCATAAGTGAAAAACTGCTCTAGCTTCTTGCCTTTTTTTTTCCAATTCTGATTGATTTTGGAGGTCTTTTGTCAAATCAACTTCAACACAAAAGCGAGCTACTGATGGCCGCGTAAGATTCAATGTGGGGGGTGTCAACTTGAAGCGGCTTCCCAATAGCTGTTGCCATAGACAATACTATATCCGGATTCATGTATTCAAGCGGTAGTTCGTGGAGATAGGCTCCACCTCAAA